TTTTAACTTTTCAATGTTTGGTATTGAGGGGTCAAAATATGATATTGGTGGATTTTAAGGTGGTGGTGGGGAGGGGAGCATGTGCTTCTTATTATTTGGCTTCTAATATTAATATAATCTAGTCTAATACTTAAAAAGATTAGAAAACCAAAATTTTGTTTGATGCTCTAACTGCTTTAAACATCACTTTTTTTTATAAATATTAAAAATATATATTAAATTGAACTGCAAGTATCACAAGATACGCCTTGTGTAGATGAAGACATAGTCATCTTGTATGATAACAAGATAATGGTGATGACAAAGAAGATATTTTAGTGAGCATCTTGATCCTAGAAACTAGAACTTCTAATGAGGTGAGTCATAATGTTGTTGGTAGTGAGTTTACGAGATTTTTCTTCACAACTTTGAGTTTTGAATTAAGTGGTAGTATATTTACTTAATAATATTTTACAAGAAAAAATTTTATGGAGCCTCACTTTGATTTCGCACAAAACCTTCGAAATATCAGTGCCAAGCTGCAAATGATAGTTATTTGTTATTTTTGAGTTTTTTAATAAAAAAGATATAAATGATATCTTTATTTTGAGTTTTTTTAATAAATAAATATGATTTTTTTTTATAAAATGAATTTAATATATAATTAAAAAGAAATCTCCATAAAAACCCTACACTTTGACCTTATTAATAAGAAAAGGTAATAATTTTTTATTTCCGATTAAATTTGAAAAACCGATAACATCAGCCTTAACCGGATACAAAATACTCATTTTACAAACATTTACCGATTTTCTGGTAAATCGTAAATAACTTTTTTCGTTAATAGAGTCTTGAGATACTTTCGTGGAGAAAATCTAATTTATGCCTTGATTACCACACACCACACCAGAATTGTTATCAATTGTGTGCGAAGCGGGCAGGGGAACCAATGAAGGGCTCTAATCTTCTACGTGCTCCAACCTCTCTCTCGACTTCACTTCCACTATATTCTCCTCTCAAATTCGTAGCCCCCTTCAGAAATCCCATATGTTTCAGTCACCTAATCCTAAGTTCTTTGAAGCTTCACCCAATTCGCATCTCTTCTCTGCACGCTACTGGTAAATTCTATCTTCCTGTCTTTAATTTGATGTTACGAGGTGCAGATTGAATGTATGTTTTTGTTTTTATACAAAATTTTGATTAGATTTTGACATTTTGTGGATTAGGTTCAGATGGTAATGATTTTCTGCTCGGTAAGTAATAGGTATTGTAGTAATAATGATACTAGGATAAGTGAACGAAATTGAACTGGTTGATTTTGGATTGTTTTGTGAAAATTTTAAGTGGGTTTCCAGTGTTCTATAACTCCATTTGGTCAATGGTAATCGAACGAGTCAAAATCAAATGATAATGATAATGATATTCCTTCTTTTTCTTTCAGCTACTCAAGAGACTGTAGAAGTTGGTGAGACTGAGTCACAATTTGTTGAAATTGGGTACATATCTAGCGTCCATGGACTACAAGGAGAGGTTCGGGTCAAGCCTAACACAGATTTTCCAGAACTGAGATTTGCAGAGGTACAAGTCCAAATACTTTTACTTCACTTATTAGATAATCAGAATCCACATTGGTTTTTGAGAATGTTGTAATGCAAAAGATAGCTACTTACTTTCATTTACTTGTATATTATAGCATCCCACTTTCATTTTCTTTCTATTACAACATTGTACTTTGAAAAATCCACCCAATTATAGCATTTGTGTTTTTGATCTGTTGTTTATGTTTCTTAGTAGACTTTGTGTTGTATTTAGCCAGGAAGGAGATGGTTGAAGAGACAGATTTTAGGGAGAGAAATAATTGAAGAGGTTGAGTTGATGGAGGGAAGAGGACACCATGGACAAAAGAGTTGGATAATTAAAATCAACAACATTGAGAAAGTGGAGCAGGTATACTTTCTAAATTGATAGTTTTTTTTGTTAAATCGTATCCAAGAACTTGATGAAATTTTGATAAACCATTATATTTTCTTTTTTAAATTCTAAATTTTATTAGGCTCAACAACTCGTGGGGTCAACAATACTTGTATTAGATGAAGATAGACCAGATTTAGAAGAAGGCGACTTTTATGCCCGTGATCTTGTTGGCATGAGAGTTAATCTTCAGGTATTTGTTTATAATTATCTCATGTCAATTTTTAATAGTGGGAAATGGAATGATTTTTTTAAATATATTCCTTTCTTTCCATTTTAGGAAACTGGTGAACCAGTGGGAACTGTTGTGAATGTTTTCGACAATGGAGGAAGTGATCTCTTACAAGTTAAGCTTAATTCATCTTTAGAGATAATAGACAAAAATGGAAAGATGAAATCAGAAGCACCCCTTGTGTGGGTCCCATTTGTCGAAGCAATTGTTCCTCATGTTGATATGATAAAACGAGAAATGACGATTACGCCCCCTAAGGGACTCCTTGAATTAAATGTAAGATCCGATGAAAGGTCAAAGAAAGAACGCCGACAACTTGTGAGTCAAACTTTTCTATCTTTCTATTGTTTTTCAGATTCTTTATTTGGGATTTCTCATATTAATTGTTTTTTCAGGAATGGAAAGATAGGAAAAAGTTTCAGAAAAGGGTTATAGCAGCAAAAAAGAAACTGTGTGAAATGGAACAGAAGCATGTTTTTGAGGGGTTTAGATATGGAGAGAAATCTCAAGGGAGTTTATTAGCTGAACAGATTGTTGGTGTTAACTCCCAATTGCTTCAAGTAGCATTAAAGACTATTGAGACACCTTCTGACAGGTGGCATTTATCCGAGTTCTTGGCAGCATATAATAAAGAAACAACAAGACATGTTTTTAAGGTTTCAAAAGGGTGTCTTGTTAGTGAAGATAAGAAGTATACAAGTTCCAAGATAACAGAGAGGCGTAAGGCTCTGATATCCAATGGCAAAGTTGCAAATATTTTGGTTGTTGAGGGTAAAAGTTTTGAATCTGAAGGGACTGATAGACTTATCCAAAGATTAGTCGAGGTAATACTACTAGGATTCGTTGACTTTTGAGGTCAAACACACTATGAAATTGTTATTTTCGCATTAAACTAAAAAAAACACTCATATAGTCATATACATATGATCCTAATGATTAAAAATTTAAAATTTTGTGTTTGCAGATGGAAAGCCATGGAACCACACCTTTGATTCTGGTTTGTCCTATAAACAAAATGGAAACTTTTCAAAACTTGATGACAGATAATGATTACTTCGGCTTTGATCCTGAAAAGGTTATAGAATTCTTCTCTATTTATTACTAAAATTTTCTATTTACCTTGAAAATTTTGTTATGTTTTTAATTATGGTTGAAAACTGATAACCAACATTTTACATTCAGGTTTGGATTTTGGAAGAAGAAAAGTTACCAGTTGTAAGCTCTTCACATGGAGAACATGGTAAACACAAGATCTTGATGAAATCCCCATGGGAAATACTCCAAACGCCAGTTGGATCTGGTGGTGTCATTAGCTTACTTTCATCACACAATAGCTTAGAGTCTCTTGCTGCAATGGGTGTTGAGTATATCGAGGTAACAGTAAAACACATCTTTTAATAGTCTTAAGTTTAAGAAACACTTGTATCCCATTAAGTAAAAAAGAAACAACACCTATCTTGTGGGATGTTTTTTTCTTTTTGATTTTTTTTTTTTTTTTTTTTTTTTATCCTTTTGCAGATTTCTAGTGTAGATCAAAGATATATTGGTGGGGAGGATCTTGTTGGTTTGGTGGATTCAAGTGAAGCTAATGTTGGGATAAAAACCTTTGGTGGTGTCAATGGTGTTGATGATGATTTCTACATGGTATTTTCTATGAAATTTTTGGCACAATTGACAAAACGTGTCAACGAGTTGCTATTTGATGCTGTTTTGAGGTCAAACCAACACGTGGAGATGGTTGACAAAGAATGGGTGGATATAACACCTTCAACACATAACTCGTATGAGTTTCGTTCTTCAGTTTATACTTGTTTAAAAGGTTGTTCTTTCGATAAGGTTTGTGTAATGGAGGTTGTGGATTAGATTTAGACACGATAATATCTAAAACCCTTTTGTTGTATTCAGTCAATAGTTACACTAAATATATTTCTACAACCCATATATTAATTGAAAATGGCAATTGTATCTACTTCACAGTTCACATATAAAAACCAAATCTCCTACTACATACACACAAGAACATTCATTCATCATGACATCATCCTAATCGCTCAATATTATCATATCATGAAGATGATGATGATGATGACCCATGGATTTCATTCAAATTTTTTGGTCTTCTTTGTTGACCTTGTTATTGGGTCAATGGCACACATTCAATCTCTATGACTATCTCACCACTCTCAACATTTTGCAATTTTAGAGAAACCTCTTGTTTTGCCTTTCTTTCTGCAAGTTTGACCACACCATTCTTGTTGACATTCGGCTTGTCTTTGTCTTCTGCCAACTTCTTTTCAGCTTCATTTGCATTACCATTCTCCAAAGCTTTTGCAGCAGAAACTAATGCTTCAATATCAACCTCAGCCTCACCCATATAATCGTCCGTTGTAAACTTATCCTTATCAAAAACAACCTGCAAAAAAATTGGAAATTTTGGTAAACACAAAAATTGATTTTAGTTTGTTGTAATAAGAAATGAAAGTAAGTTGCTGTAATTAACAAAACAATGAAAATACTTGCTATATTTGACTTTACCACTTTCAAAGGCGGAATGTCATCAGGAATTGACAACATCAACTTTTCATTCCAAACAGGATTGAGGTTGTTCTTTATAACCCGTGTCTTCACTGACTGCACCCAAAACATAATTTCTTTTCTTATTTAGGCATTGCACTTTGAAATATACACCCAATAATAGCATTGTACTTATAAAAAAAAAAATCTTATTAGGACAATGTATTTGAAATTATAATCTTGTGATAGGAAGAAATGAAGTAGGATTTTGTAATAAAAAAAACTTTGATAAGGTTTTAGGCTTACTTGGTTTCCCAAACAGAGCATAACATAAGGATCACTACTCCTGACATCTCTGATAACAAGATCAATGCCTCTGACCACATTGACCTTTATCAAACCAACAAATTCCACCATACCTGCCTATAAACAACATATCACACATCAGACAAATAACTTCATCAACACTTTTCTAATGCAGAAGGGCATTCATGTCTTTTACACCTTTTTGAGTGTGACAAAAAATTGCTAGTCAGTATCAGTATCAGTATCAGTATCAGTATCAGGGTGAGTGTGATTACCGTTGAATTACTTTTTCTGGCGGGCTTTACTTCAGCATCTTTTCTTTTCCTGGTGTTAAGAAAAGCTTGGCTAATGTTATGCATACGCATACTGTTTAAATACTTCTTCTCCACTACAGAATTTAAGCCTGCAGAACTGCAGTTCAAGGCTGCTGGATTGAATGGGCAAGACAACTGTTCCTCCATGTTCAAAAACTGTTGCATTACATACTTTCTCCTGTATATATATATATATATATATGTATATATATATATATGTAGATAAAGTTTTCAATAGTACAACAACCGGTTTTATTAGGGCTAAATAGATAGCAATATATTATTTCTTATTAGGGCATTGTACTTTGAAAAACTTCACCTGTTCTTATAATAAATTTCAAAGTACAATGTCCTAATAGAAAATATTTGGTTTCCCTTTAGTTTACCTGATAAAATCAGAACGGTCTTCTATAGAAGAGTCTGGTTGTGGTTTTCTACGGTTTTCTGGAATGCTGTCTTCATATTTTGAATTTACTGCTTCATTTCCACCCAGTTTTATCACATTATCAACATCTTCCTCTGTCCACTCGTCTAGATTCACTGATAATATCTGTGCCAAAAACTTCATAATTAGTTTATATAGTTTGAAAAATAGAAGATAAGAAATGATTAATTACTACACCTTTGATATATGCACTCCGAGGCTTCTATGTACTCCTGAACACTTAATGCACACAAATGCTCCAAGATTTGCAGATCTAGTCACACCCACAAGGTGGAATTTTTAGTTGGAGCAAAAACAAATATACAAAGTTAAGATCATAGAGTGTTTAAGAAATGATAGCTCAATTTTCTGTATGATCTATCAAATTCAAAACCTCATCATTTTATATGTTGGATGAAAATTTTTGTAAGCTTAGGACTTACACCCATTTTGGACTTGGAGATCCACAATCTGCACATAACTCATTACCAGATTCAGATGAAAAACTTGCTAGCCTCTTTTTTGCAGCTGATGAATCTGATATTTCAAAAAAAAAGTATGAATATGATATGTAAATGAATCATTAATGATTTATAATAAAAAGTTAAACTTACTGGAGGATGATGTCTGTTCATCTGATTCATCGTTCCAGTTTTCTTTTGTATCTATATGTAAGAGGTCATAGAGGCAAGTTGCTGCAATAATAAGTGAACAAATCAGATTCAGAGGTAAAGCTTTAACAGCCTACTAAAAAGTCAAAATAGCACCAAGTCAAACAAAGCATAAACATAATTGTTCGTTTTTCATCATCAAATTGTTGGTCATCTTGGAAATGAATTGATTATGAACATATTAAAACAACAATTGTTCTTATTGTGTTGGCATAACCCTAAATTCATACACAGAATAAGTTGCAAAGCTCAAGGAAAGAAGACGACTCGGTTATTACCTGATACTTGGTCGACGTCCTTCTTCTCCTGATTCTTGGCAGACATTCTTTCTCAGCAATTTAAAGATAGAAACAAATGTGTAAACATTCGATCTCTCTGCATTTTTATCTGCATTATACGTAGATATTAATTACACAATTCACCGAATCCCCTTCTGCAGAGGTTCATTTACCGTTCTCGATGACCACATATCAGCAACATATAACAACAATGTGATACGTTTTGTTCATGGGAAGAAACGGAGATTGAATTTGGAGGGAGATGATGATGATGATCCTCGGGTCAAAATATTAGAAATTCGCAAGAAATTTGGACTTTTGGTGATTATACATAGATTTTTGAAGAACTTTTGCTACTTGTGAAATAAGCGTCGGAAATTATTGGGAAAAAGGTCAAAATTTGGACGAACAAAACCTAATTGTTGTTGGGTTTTGAAAGAAGAAGTTATTTCGGTAGTTGATGGATTGCATGTTGGTGGAAGATTTCGTGGTGTCTCCGCTGTTGGCTTGTCTTTATCATCTAGAAATTACATGTATTACCTTCAAGATTGTCTATATGGCAAATACATCCCTTACTTTTTAGATAATTACAAATTTACCTGACTTTCTTGTTTACATTTTTCAAATATTTCTTTAACATTGTGAATACACACATACATATACACTATTAATATCATAAAATGACGACCAGTAGATGTTGCCTTCCTTCTCTGAGGTTGAGGGTTCAAGTCTCGCAGTGGGCATAAGTGAAATTAAGGAGTACGTTAGGAGTAAAGTAGATTGAACGTTTAAAAAAAAAAAGTAAAAAAAACAAGTTTGTTTTGTGGGTCATTTATCTTTTAATTGTATTCAATATGTCAATGAACTGTTTTTGTATTCTCATTACACCATTGAAGTGTATTTCAATCCATATAATTTTGTCATATTAAATGCCACAATCGAAGTCATCTCAACGTCCAATATACATAAATTAACAACTTTTGTCATATTGGATGTTAAAGTAGACACAATGTATGATTCAATGGCAATTTAATGGGTTAAAATCCACCCTAAAGAAGAACCCAAAAATTATATGAGTAGCTTAAAGAGCATATACTTATAGAGACCATTTTGGTATCATGCTTAATAGATTGAAAGTTATATAATTTAAAGTTGGATTGTTGCCCCTATGTTTCTCATGCTTCCACTCATTATGGAGTTGCGGGTCAGTTGCCCGATTCAATCCACACCATTTTGAGTTTAATATATGAGACCACTTAGCATCGATCACGATGTCTTGTTGATAATAGTTATGGAGGTAATGAGTATTATCTTTACTTTAGCTTTAAATAAAGGCAACTTGGTGAATCGCTTGTCTTATATATTTATAATTTGTAGAAGGTATAATGCTCCTTTAGTGGAGATACCAATCGCTTGTCTTATACATATTTACAATTTGTAGAAGATATAATGCTCCTTTAGTGGAGACTTCCTCTTAGGTGTTGTTTGTTTTTTTTAGAAAAACCTCTTCAAACCACTTTCTGCTGCGCGGCGCAGCACACGCGCAACACTTTCCCTCTCGCAGCAGTTTGTTTTTTGGAAGACTTCAGACTGCAAAACTTCTGCGCGTGTGCTGCGTGGCGCAGCACTTGACTTGTCTCTTCAAACCTCTTCAGCTTTCAATTTTTGAAGTGTTTTTTTAGAATTTTGGTATAACTTATTTTTTTTTAAACTTTTATATACGGATTTTATACAATTTCTTATTATAGTTTCCACAAATTTTTTCAACTTGATTTTTTTTAAAAAAAAGCTTTGATTTTTTTAATTTTTTTTACCATTTCCGTTAATAATATTTTCAGTTTCAGTTTTATCTTTTTTAACGTGTGTAATTTTTTACGAACTTTGTAGACATCGTTTGCAATACTTTCTTAATTTTTTTTTATTTTCTTTTTTATATTTTATAAAATTAGTTTTTTTCTAGAATAAAGTTGTTAGCTTCTTTTATATTTTTGTAAGTTTTTTTTTTAAGTTTTATATTTTTGTTTTTTTACATGTTCTTTTTAGTACTCTTTCAATGTCTTAAGACTAGAATTATGAAAATTTCGGTGTTGAAAACTATTTTAAGTTTATAAAATTAGTTTATTTAATTTTCAGTGTACTGCAGCAGTTTGCAGATGTTAAAAAACAAACATGCTTCTTATTATGGGCTGCAGTCATTTGTTCCACCTCTTCTGCTACAAAGGATTGCAGAGGTGGTCCGCAGACTTCATCAATTTTCGCTTCGAAAAAACAAAAAGCACCTTACTTTTTCAACACTTGTGGAGAAATAACCTATCAAAAGTTTCCAATATGATTAAACATCAATCATAAAGAACTAAAATGGTTTGCATAGTTGCACTATCCATTAAGGAGTTTTCTTTTCGAATATTTGGGAGTCTTTAATTCCTTATATCCAACAAAGGGGGGAAATGTGTTTTATTTTTGTTTTGTTATGTTATTTAATTCCTTGATATTTTTTAATGTAATATATTTGAATAAATTTATTAAAGAGATGTTGATATTAACTATATATTAAAAAGGCAACATCGAAACATGTTTTCACCGACAATTTGTCCTTCATTACTTTGAGAAATAACAATTTTCACCATTCTATTTTAAAAATATCATTTTGACCCCTTCAATTTTTACTATCGACAATTTGCATTCTTCTACTTTGTAAATGATATTTTCCACCCCTTTACTTTTTTAAAATATCACTTTGAACTTTGTAAAATATCACTTTGATCCTCTTCATTTTCTAAACTTTCGTGTTTATCTCCCCGTTGTATACATAATCTTATTTTCATTAATAACTTTCGTTCGTTAACTTAAAAAATAATAATTTTTACCTGCTTATTTTTATATATGTGTTGGTGTAAATTCGAGGCAGTCAACGTTTCGATGTAAATTTTAAACTTTCGTTCGTTAATCTAAATTTTTTTATATGTATGTTTCGGTCTACGTTTCCTATATTTTCAACATGTAACAACTTACTTTTTACTACTTTTTAAACCTATATGAGCTAATAAAATATTATATATGATACAAATTAGTCTCACATTGTAGGATCACTTGATGTTGCGATTATGTTGACTAATATGATGTTTTATTACAGTATTAGACAAATACACGACTTACTAACTGCTTAGAAATAAATTTATATAGTTAAAATACCAATAAATGTATGTTATTAAAAATAACTTAGTCAATATTATTAACTATAAAATAATAATTTTTATATTAAACAAAAAATTAATACCGAATATTATAATTAACTTAAACCAAACGATAAAACAAATGTAAAATTTTAATTCAATTCACAAAATAAAATCCAAATAATATATGATTTACGATTATTACCTATCTTGAGTCACACGATCCTAATGTCCTATGTCTAGGGCTTATGTGTGAATAAAGTTGTATATAATATTAGAATTAATTAATTAAAAACTATTTTGTTGGTTATTTTTAATTTTATATAACTTTTAACTGAACTTAATTACTGATTTAATGATATTTTTAACTATTTTTGTCGATAATAATTTAAAACTACTCATTTTGGATACTTTCACTTGTTTAAAAATAATTTTAATCATTTTTTAGTTTATTTAACATCTCAATGGCTTCAATCCACAAGTTATACATAATAAAGTTATGATTTAATGTTATATTTAACTTATAGTAAATTAATTTACAACTACTCATGTTTTGTTTAAATATTTAACTTATAGTAAATTAATTTAAAACTAATCCTGTTTTGTTTAAATATCGTTTAATATAATTAACCAAAATTTTCATTAGTAAATAAAAAAATATCCTTGTGATTTTCAGTTTTTTATGGCTAAAGTCCCAAAAAAATATTTTTGCAAAAAAATATCTTTATTTAATTAAGGGTTTCATTATAGATTTGGTCCTTCAAATGGACTTCCCTTTAACCACACTCTATTTTTTCTATTTTTTCGCTGCCACCTACCTGACGTGAGGGTATTTTGGTCTTTTAAGTCTAGAAGATAAAATGCAGTTAATTCTTTTTAAGACTAGGGCCAAAGTCACATGTTCTTTGGATGTTATCTTTATAAGTTTAGGACCAAAATTGTAATGTTATATTTTTAAGTATAGGGAACAAAATCACAGTATGTTTTTTTGGATGAGACTTCACAAATGAAAATAATGTTAATTTTTATTATTTATAAATAACTATTTTTAAAAATATAAATTTTTTGCTTGTTATATTTTGATTATTTACAAATGGAAATATATTTGTTACTTAAATGAAAATATTATTAAGTGTTATATTTTCATTATTTACAAATGAAAATATATTTGTTACTTAGATGTAAAATAATGTTAATTGTTATTATTTTGATTATTTATTTATAAATAACTAATTTTAAAAGCATAAATTTGTTATATTTTTAAACAAAAATCTCAAAACATATCCAACGCAAATTCCAATAAAACATGACATCACTTTTTTTATATGGTGATAATTTTTCCAATAAAAATTAACTAACTACAATAACAAATATGTTCAATAGCATTACCAAATATATTAAACAAAAAACGCAACACCACCACCATTAACAACACTCGTATGGTCCTCTTTCAAAAAAAAAAAAAACACTCGTATGGTCTTACACTCATGTTCAATAACCATAAAGGTAAGTTAACATAGCAAATAACATCAATTAGTACACATATTTATTTAGTTGTTCCATAATAATAAAAATGTTCAAAAAGACTTATGACTTGAAACAAAGAATTATCGAACCTTATTATGCTTATCAAAGTTTGTCATATCATCTACCATGGACCTCTTGTAAGCATCACCACTAACACTCTCTTCTATAATACTCGAGTAGCAAAACCCCCTACAAAGCCTCAAAATATTTCTCTATGTTGTCTCGGTCTGCAGAAATATTGCATTTTCGACATTTTTTTTTTCTGTGGCACTCTTTATATCCAATGCAGAAAACAACCCAATCTGAGTAATGTACTCTTCATCGATCTACTTGGTTTATTTTTTCTTAGAGGTGCACCTAGACGTTGAAAAATACAACGTGAGATATAACAAATCTACAATATACAACAAGTGTCTTTTTGTTTAATATAGTTGTGATCATATTATATATACATACAAGAGCTAAAACCCTAATTAATTGGTTGTGTACGATAAATGGTTGCATACAAGAGCTAAAATAATCATTATTATGATTATGATACCTATACCAGGTGTGTATGACATAATTACCATCAACTAGTAAACTGTAAAACATTAATTACTAAACCCTCGTATCATTAAAGGGGTATGTATCTTGATTCTATTTATAAATAACCAATCTCATCATTCAAATTACCATATTCAAAGATAAAACCCACTTAAAACCCCCCACATTCCAACAAAAATAAGTCACGTGAATCCAATACAATGCTTGATGGTTATTTCTTAAATATATAAC